GGAGAAATACTGACATCCTGAAAAATCTGAACATCAAGGAAGACTGGCTAATAAACAGCATCCTGTCTCGGAAGCTGAAATATTTTGGTCATTTCAAGCACCACGACGGATTGGAAAAAAATTATAGCAGAATGCATGGTACCAGGGAGAAGGGGCAGGGACCGACCGACACGAAGATGGGCACAAGATATAAGTGACTCCTTGAGTATGAAAGTACATGAGGCGGAAGAGCTGGCGGGAGACCGAGTTTCTTTTAGGCAGACTGTGATGAGAGCGACGTTCTGCAAAGGACCTGCTACTTGAATGATGATGATGAGATCAGTTTACATTTACAATGACCATGAACGAGAATACGAACGCGCTGCTGCATGATGAGGGCGCTGTCCATTTTCCATCTTCTCATAACATGACCAAAAATTGATGACTGTCTCTTTCTGATGTTTTTTTAAAAACTACATTAGTGTATCGTTTACCGCTGTGTCAGTATATTACATAGCCTTTGATTCTGACTTTGCCATGATGGCTAGCTCAGTTGGTTAAACGTGACTGCGCGGCGACCGAATGACGAACTCCTCGTGGTCCCCGTTCACGCCCGGGGTAGACAGAAAAGCCACATTTCTACTAGATTTACGGTATCTATTATGGTATCAAGGTTGAAGGGTTGCGATATCTATAGTACTGAGCCAAACGGTTTACACTTCATGGTTTCTGAAAAAAAAAAAGATTATGATTTAAACAGGCAGTATGCATTATTTAGAATCCGTCACTGGCTCACACAAAATTACATTTCTATTTATTTTCCCTGCAAAAAACAAATAGAGTGCTACACTTCCCTGAGCGTGCGTTGACCGTCCCTGTTTCGCCCCGGGAAGTAGATCTGAAAGGGGTCTCGGCAGTAAAGTGGTTTACAAGGTTACAACACACTTTCCCTGGACCTAACCGAGTACTCAACAATATCCTCTCAAAGTGCAGAACTGGGGTAGACTCACCGAATTAAAGCAGTAATACAGATTCTTTTGAGAAGGAATGGAGCTAAAAATAGAACGCCCCTCTCCCGTTTTAATGAGGCATCTGTTTTAGGCCCACATATATACACGCACACATTTCAGTAATTAGCAACATGAGTTATAAACGATACTCGGCGCATTCTTGACAACAAACAAAAGAGATGCATAACTTTTGTAGAAATGAAAGATGTTCGTTTGTGTGTGTGTGTGTGTGTGTGTGTGTGTGTGTATGTGTGTGCGTGTGTGCGTGTGTGTTTATGTGTGTGTGCGTTTGTGTATGTATGTGTGTGTGTATGTGTGTGCGTGTGTGCGTGCGTGTGTATGTGTGTGTGTGTGCGCGTGTGTGTGTTACATGTGTTGCTAAATAGTTAATCAGTTTGTTTCATCCTCTCAAGCTCCCCAGTGCAAGTGTTTCTAAAATCCCGAGGGTACTTGCTGGTACTACGGAGTCTGTACTTGTTGCAACCCTGTCGTGAGCCACTTGCCGATCTATGGAGAGAGACGGATGGAGCTAGCTACACGAGATAAATCCACGTGGAATCAAGTCGATCTTCTATAAACCCCCCTTTGGCAACGAAAACCACAGACACGCAGCAAGATCATCGGAATGTACTGGCCAGTTGGGAAAATAGTCAAACTGATCTAATCAAAAATCTTGGTATTGTACTTCCGTACTGTACTATAAGCCCTGCTGTTCTCCATCAGTGTCTGGGTCAGGCGGGACAAGAGGGAGTATTTCTTTGAAGCCGTCCATATGGAGTGAGGACATCTACCGGCCATCTATGCTCCAGAGACACACATTAGAAGCTTATGGCTTCCGCGGAAATAATTACTACTGTTTTTGGTGATTAGTGTTAGAGTCATAGCTGGATTAATTGGATCTGCCTCTCAGGCGAATGACTTCTCTCAACTTAATGAAAACGACGAGACCTTATATGGCTTGAAATTTATTTCCCACATTTGATGATTAAGATGATGTTCTCATCTCTTCTCCCCAGTTTGCTTTCCCTATAGTCTTTTTCATTGCCTCCTCCTTCTTTTCGTCTCCTCAACCTCTTTCTTCTTATTCTCGTCTCCTCTTTTTCTTTCTTCTTCTTCATCTTCTTCTTGTTCTTGCTCTTCTTGTTTTTGTTCTTCTTGTTCTTGTTCTTGTTCTTGTTCTTGTTCTTCTTCTTGTTCTTCTTCTTCTTCTTCTTCTTCTTCTTCTTCTTCTTCTTCTTCTTCTTCTTCTTCTTCTTCTTCTTCTTCTTCTTCTTTCTTCTTGTTCTTCTTCTTCTTCTTCTTCTTCTTTCTTCTTCTTCTTCTTCTTCTTCTTCTTCTTCTTCTTCTTCTTCTTCTTCTTCTTCTTCTTCTTCTTCTTCTTCTTCTTCTTCTTCTTCTTCTTCTTCTTTTCTTCCTCTTCTTCTTCTTACTCTTCTTCTTCTTCTTCTTCTTCTTCTTCTTCTTCTTCTTCTTCTTCTTCTTCTTCTTCTTCTTCTTCTTCTTCTTCTTCTTCTTTCTCCTCCTCCTTATCGTTCTTCTCCCCCCTTCATCCTCTTTCTCATCCTTCTCCACCTCTCCTCCTTCTTCTCCTCCTCGTCCTCCTTCTTCTTCTTCATCTTTTTCTTTTTCTTCTTCTTCTTTTACTACTACTACTACTACTACTACTACTACTACTACTACTACTACTACTACTACTACTACTACTACTACTACTACTACTACTACTACTACTACTACTACTACTACTACTACTACTACTACTATTACTACTATTACTACTACTACTACTACTACTACTACTACTACTACTACTACTACTACTACTACTACTACTACTACTTTTACTACTGCTGCAGCTGCTTCTACTTCTACTGCTGCTGTTGCTGCTGCTGCTACTACTAATACCACCACCACCTTTATGTCAATTTGTTTAATAATGATTGGGCAGTTAATATTATACGATTTTTTTTCTTCAAAACATGATGCTTTTAATATTTTTAACCTGAACTCTCTTTCTTTCCGTCTGCCTACTTCTCCTACCTCCTCCTAAGTCCTCATCTTCTTCCTTTTCTCCTTCAGCATTAACAGTATTACTTGATGTAAATGTTTGTGAAAGCACGACAGTTTATGTGCCGCATAAAGTTAAAAATCAGAATAACAAATTGTTAGCATTACAATTCTCTGTGCCACATTTGCGAGACAATCCATAATTTATCAACAACATCCTGACTTAAACCGTTGTCGCCTTCCTGTCAGCTCCTCAGTTTATTGCTTTGTATACAATGATTAACTACCTTATAATACAGTTATCGGCACAGTTTATACTTGTAAAAGTACTATGCCAACATCTCTGCCTTTCTTGTGGAACTACAAAGAGAAGTTTAAAGAAATTAAACTACTGTTGTAGCTTTGGTTTAAAAAAAAAAAAGAGTCATGAAGATGTCTTGAAAGAATCTGACCCACAAAGTGATCTGACTGCCCACATCAGAAGGAGTCAATTTACTTCAGTGGTTCTCAACCTTCCTAATGCCGCGACCCTCTAATACATATCCTCATGTTGTGGTGACCCTTAACCATGATACAATTATTTTCGTTGCTACTTTAAAACTTTAGGGAATATGTGTTCTCCGATGGTCTTGGGCGAGCCCTGTCAAATGTTCGTTCGACCCACACAAGGGTCGCCATTGATACGTTGAGAATCGCTGATCTACATTCTTTGGTCATGCCATGAAAAAGGGAAATACCGAGTACATTGTCTCATCTCATCTCATCTTGCAGTGTCGAGGCGAAGTAACTCTTCTTGTTATACTGAGAGCCCTTCGCGAGAATCTCATTTAAGTTGTTACAATTTTCTTTGCTCTTCTTCTGTCACTGTCCAGGTGTGGCATTGATAACACAGGGTTGGCACAAATAGTGCTTTATACAGTTTTTTGTTGTTTTTGGTTTCTACCAAACATGTTTGTTTCTTAGTATTGGTGCCATTTGCCCAGTGAAATGGTTTGTTTTGTTAGTCTGCCATCAATCTCATCTTCTGTTTTGCCAGCTAATGATATTAGCTGCTTTTTTTAAGTTCTTGGTTTGATTCAGCTGTCAGGTGGATATTTATTGTTTTGTCTTCTTTGGCTAAATCACGACCTCTGTTTTGTTAATGTTATGCTCTTTGCAAATTCGGTTTAAGTAATTTATATGGTTTGAAGTTTCTGAAGTAGCATTTACTGCTTGGTCGTCCTTAAAAAGTAGTTCTTTGATGGACTTGTTTGCTTGGGATCTTATTCTCCTTGATATTGTATAGTCCCTGTTTGTTCGTTTGTTTTGGCGGAAATGTTGAAAGGGAAGAGGGGCAGAGGAAACCCGAGAGAAAAGATGCTTAACAATTTGACATCGTGATATGGAGGATTATCGGTGTTAGAACAGATTGAAAGTACACAAAATAGAATGTTGTGGACAGACATGACTATCGGCGCGACACTACATTGGCTGTAAGTAGAGTTTAGGTAAAGATGTTTTGTTAAGTTATTATGTCTGCTGCGTAATGACAAGTAATAAATGCAACCGAACGTTTCGACCACAATCTTTATCAACCAATAAATGATCATGAATGATAAACCACAACAAACGACAAAGAAAGTCACATAGAAATGTAATGTGAAAAAAAGAGTGTTTACCAGAAATTAGAAAAAAAAAAAATACTTATTATGTTACAATTGAAACATGCAATGAAAGAGTTTAGATCAGTAGGGATTTTTCCTTAAACGCCATGCCACCCTCTTCAGCAGCCAGAGCAGAGTTCCAGTACTAGTGGTGCCAGTTTTAGTCTTGTTACATGTTCGTCTTGCCTTTCCCCTCGGCAAGGAGCAACTGTTTAACCTGTCAAGTTATATTATCTATCTTTCCAGTGCATAAAAAAAAAAAAAAATTGCCCTTCTTGAATCTCTCTTTTTCATCAATAGCTAGCAATTTCCTTCTGAGTGTTTCATACGGCTAAGACATATGCACTAACTTTAATTAAACATTTCTTGGACATGTCCTTCGCCTGTGGCAGATCATCTTATATCTCTCTGTAGAAGTTTGCATGTCAGCACGCCGCCTCCCAGATGAACTGATCTCGACGCGCTGCCTCTGGCTGGAAGTCTAGTCTTCCAACTGCTGAGAACCAGAGAACCAGTATGGGTTTACAGTGCAAAAGTCTTTGAAGTTGAAAAAAGAAGAAAAAAAAAACCATATATATATATATATATATATATATATATATATATATATATATATATATATATATATATATATATATATATATAGACACACACACACACTCTCTCTCTCTATATATATATTGTGTATATGTGTGGGTATGTGTGTATATATGTATATTCATGCATACACACCTACGTGTGCCCGTATTTGGGTTTATTATATTAATTCTATTATAACTTCCCCGCCCTGTATGACACTGACAACGCGAACAACCCAGCGCTCAATGATCTGTGGCCGTAAGAGTGAATATGTCCCTAATGTTACAACGACAACCAGGTGGCACATTGGCTCGCCGGTAGACGACTTCCTCGCCAGTAGGGAATGTATTTGGGTCTGTCTCCTTTGATCGTATCAGTACTGTAAGAGTCCTTTTCATGTCTCTTGGTGGCGTGCAATGCTAAGCCATTTCATATAGCGCACATAAACCTAGTCACAATTATAACCTAAAGCTCCTCCTTATTTGTTATAGATTTGAACAAAGATGCCACAAACAACAGATTGTACAATTTATTGACTGGGATATTTCGCTGTATCTAGTCAGGTGCATACTGCAGTAACAATTACATAAATGAAGCTGATAAGTGAATCCTTTGCACAAAAAAAAAAAAAAAAAATCAACAACGATCAAACATAACTGCCTGTTTTAAAAGCGGCAGTGTCAGAACTATATCATTTTGCATACACAGTTCATGGCACAAGTGACGAATCGTGGCAGCTTCAAAGAATCTTAGCGTTTTGCCATTGGCTGAAACATGAAGGATTGTTTTAAACTTGTCAATAGGCAAAGCAGCATAGAAAGTTTGACTGACTGTTGTTTTGAGCTGGTCGTACAGACGTTTCAAAAAGTCATGGCCTAGAAAGATTAGATGGATGTAGACTTGTTGTTTGGGGACTGACGTTTCTGTGGTAGTTAGTTTAGGATTCTGGCAGTGGCGCCTAAGAAATCCAACGGGAAAATCCACTCGATAATAACATTTGCTTGGGAGTTTCTAGTTCAGATTGTAGGGTATCACTGTAGCAAATCTTTCAAGCGCTGTTGAATAATGTTTGTGCTAGGCCACGTTAGTACTAAATGGTTGCAAAACTAATAGAGTTCATATACTGGCCCGTTCAAGTATCTTTCTTCTATACTGATCTTTGAATAGTGCCATCTTCCCTTCATCTGATCAGGACGTCTCTAAAGACGATTGCGTTATAACACTCATGTTGTAGAGACAGTGAGATTTTTTGTGTTTACCCGGTTCATCTGAGGTTGTACTAAATTCTGCTTGTTGTTTGTTAGGAGCAACCATAAAAATATCGTCTACTGAACGTTTGTAACAAACCAAGTTATCAATGTCCAAAGATTTTTTTTCCTTCTAAGTGTGCCATAAATATTTCTGCTAAAAATGGACCCAGTAGGGTTGCCATGGCCACTGCATCAATCTGGCGGTAGGACTGCTTGACGAAATTGAACCTGATGTTTATTGTGCAAAATGACAACAGTATCTCCAGTTTTTAGGCAGGCAGATCCAACTTTAGATTCTTCTTCTTTATACGGTCCTGGATTATTCCAATTGTTTCTTTCAACGGTTTGGTGAAAAGGGAGACTATATACATTGATGCCATATACTTATTGTTTTAATTCACATTCTTTTGTAATTCTACGAGTTCAGAGCCAAAATACTAAGTAACACATTTGAATATTCTTTACTGTTATCTGTAAACAACAGTGACACATGAAGTTGCCAAATAATTTCAGTTTCCGAAACAGGATGCAGGTATTGAGCCAGTTTCTTTGAGAATCAGATCGTGTAGAATAGTGTCTCTTTCTCTTTATCCGTGTTTATAAGTACATTCCGGTCCTAAGTGGGAGCCATGAGATTGTGTGGCTAGACGCTTGCCTGTTTGTTCAAAGGTCTAACAGCTTTTATTACACCCTCCCTCCCCCCGCCCACCCTTCCGCAAACAGAATACCTTGGCTTCAAGGTCATCCAGGGCTAAGAAAGGTACCAGGTAATGACCTGAGAAGTAAAGGCGACCGGTATGATGTTGACAAAATCACCCATTGAGTGTCAGGTTTACGTCTCTATAAAAATGTTAGTCTGGCATCATATGTTCTATGTTCTACAGACGCGTAATGGGTCCCTTTACTTTTACTGACTGACAAGTAGCTCCAAAAGTCCTGATTTCCTCATCAGTGTTTGTCAAATGGATATCTTTATTCTACATTTTTACAGGACATGCAGGTTCTGACATCTTTTATTCAAAGCGGGGTACA